ACCCGGGTCCTCTGCAAGAGCAGTCAGTGCTCTTAACTGCTGAGCCATCTCTCCAGCCCTATTTTTATAATTTTATGAATATGCATGTATTGCCTACATGTAGGTAAGTGCACCCGTGTGGTGCAATGCCCACAGAAGACAGAAGAGGCTGTTGGATCCCCAGGAGCTAGAGTTATGGACAGTTGTTAGCTGCCATGTGGGTGCTGGGATCCAAACCCAGGTCTTCTGCAAGAACATTCAGTGTTCTTAACCCCTGAGCTATCTCTCCAGTCCCCTAGAAATGCATTGCTTAAAACAAAAGGTTCAGCTCAGTATGGTAGCAAATGTTTGTAATCTCAGCACCTGGGAAACTAAGGCAGGGGGATCCTGAGGTGAAGCCTACCCCAGGTTAAGTAGTGAGATCCTGTCTCAAAAACAAAACAAAATCACACTAGACTAGCTACTATAAAACACCTCTAGCTTACCACATTTTCTAGAAATATCAAACTTCTCTGAAGCAAAGAAAATTAAAGATTCAAGTAAAATAGAACACAAGAAAATAAGGATTTTTATTTATTCAAGTGAGATCCTAGAAGAATATATACTCTATAAATGAGTCAAAGCTGGTTATGGTGGCATATGCCTTGCAGCATTCAGGAGGTGGAGGCAGAAGGATCAGAAGTTTGGGCCATCCTCCACTACAGTTTGTTTGAAGCCAATCAGTTACATGAGACCCTGTCTCCTAAGTAATGAATAAGAAAAGTGGGTCAAGGGGCTGCTGTAGGAATAGCTCAGTGGTAGATAGAGCGTGTATCAGCAAAGAAAAAGTCAAGAGTATCTCTGGGGGCTGGAGAGCTGGCTCAGCAGTTAAGAGCACTGGCTGCTCTTGCAGAAGACCCAGGTTCAAATCCCAGCATCCACATGGCAGCTAACAACTGTCTGTAACTCAGTTCCAGGGGATCTGATGCCCTCTTCTGTCCTCCATGGGCACTGCATGACACTGGTGCATTTACACACATGCAGACAATACACTCATACACATAAAGTAAAAATTAAAAAAAAAATTTTTAACTTAAAAAAAAGAGTATCTCTGTAGAGGAGGAGAATATAGAATTTTAGTCACTATCAGCCTATTTTTAATACAATACTTTATATACTTGAACTCTGTAGGATGAATGACTTAGTCAGTAGAATATATGTCATGGAGCTGATAAAGGAGAGACTGGAGGACTTATGGAAACATGGAGGGCTGTGTTAGCTACAGAGATGTAGGACAAGTGTCCTAGAGGTTGACAGCAGCAAGCAACTTCTATATGGTTCTATATGGCTTCCTTCCTTCCTTCCTTCCTTCCTTCCTTCCTTCCTTCCTTCCTTCCTTCCTTTTTTTTAGGAAAAACTAAAATCAGTAATTGTTGAATTTAGTACAAAGTATCAGAGCTGCTAAACTTCAAAGGAAACAATAGGAATACATGGATGGATATAAACATAGTTCAAACTTCTACTTCAAGTGCATCTTTCTATTTTCTTTTTCTTTTTAATAGTTGTTCTTAGACAATCTTGATATCGAATACTACACCATCAGAGATCTAAATATAAAAATGCACATATCCAGGCAAACAGGTCAATCAAGAAGTCCCTATAATTTATGCATATCAATATTACCTTGCATAACTATATGGACTGGTTTTTGAATCACATATTCTATCTTTAAAATATGGACTAAGAGCTCACTTGCTCAACAAAAAGGAAAAACCCTTGCTTACCCGGGGTATGAAGTATTCATCAGCACTGAACTTATAAAGCCACTCATCCAAAAAGTGAAACAGAAGAGATTGTAAATCATCGCCTACACAGGATCAAAAAGGGCCATGATAGTATAATGTTTAATAATTCTGGTCTCCAAAAGCTTGTTTGTTAAAGTACAAAGAATTTCTTAGGCTAATTTATAAATTCAAAATCAATTCTGTTGTTCTTACTGTGAAAATACACTCAGATCACATATAATTATTATTTCCTTAAAAATAAATGAGTTACCTTGAATTTCTACTTCTACTGTTTGGAGGGGTTCCACAGTCCCAGTATCTGTCATGTACCCAAACATGGCCATGGCACACTGTTCAAACGCTTCCTCCAGAGTATCTCCCCATGCATGTAACCTTAAAAAAAAAAAAAAATACTGTGTGTATGCAAAAGAGAAAAATTCAAAATTTCACAGCAAAGCCAAAAGAAAATAAGTTTGATAAATACAAAGCTGAATACCAATTTAATGGCATCAAAACTAGATGTTTTTAAACTACTTCATGTTCAGAAGGAACCAAAATGAGAGGAAAAAGATTAAAAGTAGATATGTCCTTGGGTCAGCAGGTAAGGGCACTTGCCACCAAACCTGACAACCTGAGTTTCATTCCCAGGACCCACACAATGGAAGGTGAGAACTGATACACACAAGTTATCTTCTGAACTGCATAGGTGTGCTATGATACATATGTATACACAAGTAGACACATACAACATAAACAAATAAAAAATGTACTTAAAATTTAAGACAAAATAAAACAAGATTAGAGCTCTCTAGGTGAAAACATTGAGCCTGGGACTGTTCAGACAGGTAAAGGAGGTTGCTGCCAAGCCTGATGGCCTGAGTTTGAATCCCAGGACTCACATGGGAGGAGAGAAAGAACTCCCATAAATTGTCCTCGGATCTCCACATGCGTGTCATGGCACAGGTGCACAAACGTATATGCATGCACACACACACACACACACACACACACACACACACACACACACCACGTGCGCATACACAAAATATTTAAAATTTTTAAAAAATTTAAAGCCGGGAGTGATGGTGCACGTCTTTTGTCACAGCACTTGGGAGGCAGAGGCAGGCGGATCTCTGTGAGTTGGAGACCAGCCTGGTCTACATAGAGAGTTCCAGGCCAGCTGGGACTACAGGGAGACCCTGTCTCAAAAACATCAAAAAAAATTTAAAACATCCCATCTTTCCCATTTAAAGACGTGGTTTCAAAGGAACAAACTGTGGCTGTACTCACTGGACATCAGCTGTATGATCCAAATCTGAGGGAGAAGAGGGAAAGCCATTTGTAAGTCACTTGAACTTGACTCTCAATCCATACCAAAAAAAAGAAAACTCTAGGGGGTTGACCAAAGGCAGCAGGTGGCAATAGCAGTAAGAAAAAGACTCTAGTTCACTATGACATAGTGTTAAGATCATCATCCCAGCCTGTAATCCACACACTCAGGAGGCTAAGGTTAGATGGGTCACAAGTTCCAACCCAGCCTGGGATACTAATTCCTGGACAACCTGGGGTACACAGTAAGACCCTATCAAGGGAGGTGAGGTGACAAGATGGTTCAGTGAGTAAACACTTCACAAGCCTGATGACCCAAGTTTGATCCCTGGAACCCATAGTAGAAAGAGAGAACTGACTCCCGAGAGCTGTCCTCTGACTTCCACACATACTGTGGCATGTATGTACATTCGTGGATAAAAGCACTTGCTGTACAAGCCTTACATGAGTTCAGATCAGCAGAACCCAGGTAAAAGCTGGACATAGTGGCTTGTGCAACTGTAATCCCAGCATTCCTACAGGAAACGGGAGGCATAAACAGAAGACTCTCCAGAAGTTTACCAGCAGCAAAAAGACCCTGTCTCAAACAAGGTGGAAAGTCAAGGACACCCAAGGTTGTCTACCCATGGGCCATCCTCACCTACAAACAAGAGTAAAAAAGATAGGGCTTCAGCACTCAGGAGGCAGAGGCAGGTGGGTTCAAGGTCAGCCTGGTCTACATAGTGAGTTCCAGGTCAGCTGGGGGCTACAGGGGGACCCTACATCAAGAAGACCCCCTTAAAAAAAAAAGGAAAATAGATGGGGCTGGAGGGATGGTTCAGGGGTTAAAAGCACTTGCTGCTCTTGCAAGGACCTGGGGTTCAGTCCCAGCACCCACATGGAGGCTAACAATGGCAATTCCCAGAGATCCAATATCCTCTTCTGGCCTCTAGGCATGTGCATGATGCACATACACACATGCAATCAAAACGTTCATATACATCAATATTTTTTAAAAAATATTTTATTTTTATGCGTATGAGTGTATTGCCTGCATGTGAGTGCATCCATGTCATGCAATGCCACAGAGGTCAGAAGAGGGCTTCAGATTCCCCTGGAACTGGAGTTAAGGATGGTTCGTAGCCACCATGTGGGTGCTGGGAATCGAACCCGGGTCCTCTGCAAGAGCAGTCAGTGCTCTTAACCGCTGAGCCATCTCTCCAGCCCCACATCAATCTTTTAAAAATAAAAATAGAGGGCTGGGCATGGTGGCGCATGCCTTTAGCCCAGCACTTGGGAGGCAGAAGCATGTGGATCTCTAGAGTTCAAAGCCAGCCTGGTCTACATAGTAAGTTCCAGGCCAGCTAGGGCTACAAGGAAACCCTGTCTCAAAGAGACCAATAAATAAATAAATAAATTTTTAAAAAATTAAAAAAGAAAATCCTTAAAGAACAGGAAAATGTGAGGTAGCCAGACCTCTTACTATGTAGTTACTCAACAAAGTTCCTTGCTTTGCTAGTGTTATTTTTTTAAAAAACAAAACAAACCAACAAAACCCCCCAAGGTTCATAAATAAATGAATTACAGTTTCTGGAAAGTAGCAAGGTAGGAATATTCCAGGTGTTTTGTTTTGTAGCCCAGGTTGGCCTCAAATACATGATAATCCTCCTGCCACAGGCTCTGGAGTGCTGGGGTTAAAGTGTATACCACCATGGCCAGTTCCTTCCAGGTACTCTTAAAATGTCTCAGTTGGGTGCCATGTGGGTTCCTGTAGTCCCAGGGACTCAAGAGGTTAGAGCTGCAGGATCACTTGAGCCTAGCTTGTGTATCCTGGGTGACACAGCAAGACCTTGTGTGTCAGGGGTGTTTTATACATTAATCTCTCAATAAATACTTCCTGTTATCAGTTATTTTTCTTGAAAACAAATAGAAATCAGGATTGCTAGGGATTTTTCTCCCCCCAAAGTTAATAAAACCCAAGACGTAGCATGTCCCAGGTAAACCCTCTACCACTGATCTAGACCCCCAGCCTTAGTATCTTTTCTAAATATGGACTATGTGAGTGATCAACATTCTAGCAACTACCTCATCTCCAAGACATAAACCTCTAGAATACTGTCTCATTTCTGAATAGTTAGTCTAACCCTAGATAAAGTAGCTTAGGAAAGTAAACTCCACAGATGCATCATGAGCATTGCCTGCTAGTTCCACAGGGAAGACCAGAAAGCCGCTGCAACCACTACTGCATGCTCCGCTGAACTGTCAGCTAACTTGACGTTTTCAGTCTGTTCTTCACCTCCACCTTGACTTTCATCAATTCCTTCCACTTAGGATCACAGAGTATCAGATAGTGCTAGCAGGAATTCTTGGAGGTCATAATATAATCATTTGACTTGTAAGCAGAAACCTGGGGTCTGGGGATATGGCTTAGTGACAGAATACTTACCTAGCATGTGCAATGTCCTGGGTTTAATATTGAGTGTGAACGAGAAAGCAAAGCAAAAGTCAAAGAAAAAGAAATCTGAAATCCATAGAGATCAAATGACTATTTCTAGACTACAGTGCTGTCTACAAGTATAGTTGAAGTGACCAGAGGTGACCTGTGAAGATGGTTTGCTACAGTCTTGGCCCTGAAAACCCTATGAAATCACACAAATTGAGAAGTTCAAATCCTCATGTTCACTTTAAGAACTCCCGGGAGCCGGGCATGGTGGTGCAAGCCTGTAGTCCCAGCACTTGGGAGGCAGAGGCAGGCAGATCTCTGTGAGTTCAAGGCCAGCCTGGTCTACATAGTGATATAGTGAGTTCCAGGACAGCTGGGGCCATAGGGAGACCCTGCTTCAAAAAGACCGAAAAAAAAAAAGAACCCCCAGGAAAATGCCCACGCCATTAAGAGTATGCATATCTGAAAAGCAACGAAGTATCTGAAAGATGTCACTTTAGATGGAAGCAGTGTGTGACGTTCTATGATGCAATGGTAGAGACAGCAGATATGCCCAGGTCAAACAGTGGGGCTGGACACAGAGTTGGTGGCCCAAAAAATGATGAATTTTTGCTGCATATGCTTAAAAAATGTAGAGAGTAATGCTGAATCTAAGAGTTTAGATGTAGACTCTCTAGTCATTGAGCAAATCCAAGTGAATGTAACAGCCAGGATGTGCCAAAGAATTTAAAGAGCTCATGGTCCGATTAACCCACACGAGCTCCCACTGAAATATCAAAATGATCTTCACGGAAAAGGAACAAACTGCCCCCAAGCCAAAGAGGAGGTTGCACAGAAGAAAAAGATATCCCCGATGAAACTTAGAGAAACAAAAACTTATGGCATGGGAATAAATTGGGCATAAAATAAATGAAAAAATAAAAGTTAAAAAAAAAAAAAAGTACAGGGGCTGGAGAGCTGGCTCAGTGGTTAAGAGCACTGATTGCTCTTGCAGAGGACCCGGGTTTGATTGCCAGCACCCACATGACACCTAGAAAACGTCCTTAACTCCAGTTCCAGGGGAATCAGAAGCCCTTCTGACCTCCAAGGCATTGCACGATACAGATGCACTCACATACATGCAGACAATACACTCATACCCATAAATCATAAAAATAATAAATTAAATTTTTTTTTTTTAAAGTACAGCTGGTACTGGAATTGAGATTTTTCTGCATCCAAGGCTGGAGCACTTTGTAGGATTACAGACACTGTGGTACAAACCTGTAATCCCAGCACTCAGGAGGCTTAGGCAAGAGGATCATCAGTTTGAGACCGGTTTGGTATATGCAGTGAGTTCAAGGCCAGTCTGAGGTACATAGAGCACTGTTTCAAAAAACCAAAGACCCCAATGAAACTAATTAAAATAAAATGGGGAAGGGATGCTGGGGACTAATTAAACTAATTAAAATGGGGAAGAGTCAGTGGTGGACTGTCTGCCCTGTGTTCGATCCCCACCACAGCAAATTAAATAAGTAAATAAACTCACAATTTAATTTTAAAAATTCAAAACCCAAGCCAGGCATAGTGGTGCACACCTTTAATCTTAGCACTCAGAAGGCAGAGGCTACATAGTGAGTTCCAGGCCAGCCACAGCTATACAGTTGTCCTAAAAAAAAAAAAACAGCCAAGCATGGTGGCGCACGCCTTTAATCCCAGCACTTGGGAGGCTGAGGCAGGCGGATCACTGTGAGTTCAAGGCCAGCCTGGTCTACATAGTGAGTTCCAAGACAGGTGGGCCTACAGGAAGCCCCTGCCCCAAGAAAAAAAAAAAAACGAAAAAAAAAAATTTTTTTTTTTAAAAAAGCACAAATGACTGAAATAAGCATTAACATGAATGCCAAAATACTGTGGAGAGCTGCAGAACTCTCCTGTACAGCTTTATCCGAACCCCTGCACTCTACCAAACTCTAGCATGGCTTCTCATAGCAGAAGGCCACATCCCTAAGATGGGAGGGTCTTAGTTAAAATGCTGGTCCGAGAAAAGCTCAGCAAACATTGAAGAATTCCTTCTTTGTTTTAGCCAACACCCGATGTAGAGTCCTAAACTCCCTATCTTACAGCAAGTACCAAAAAGGACTTAAAATTGTGAATATGTATCCCTTATGACTCAGAATTATCTTTCTCAAGGACCTGGGAAGCATTCTTTTGAAATGTTATCTCCACAGCCTGGGCCACTGGCTCAGTCTGTGGGAGGCTAGAACTCTAACTTCTGAAACTGCTGGGAACAGACAAAACTGGTCTTGGCCTTATTGCATTTACAATGATTAATCTTTGTACTTTGTCTCTTCTCTTACTCTAGGAGACCTTGCTCTCTCCCTTCCCTCATTCTCCTTGTAAAATACCCAATCTTTGAGCAAACTGGAATCAATCTCAGCTGTTTCTCCATTCAGTCACTGTATTCACTTCAACAAGTGTCCACCTGCGTTATCTTTGATGCAAGTGATGAAGCCAGATATAAAAGAAACCAGATCCTATGATTCTGTTCATTTGAAACTTTAAAGGACAAAAACAAGATGCGGTGATAGAAAAAAACAAGTTAGTCAACAGTTAGCCGGGCATGGTGGCACACGCCTTTAGTCCCAGCACTCGGGAGGCAGAGGCAGGCAGATCTCTGTGAGTTCCAAGGCCAGCCTGGTTTACATAGAGAGCTCCAAGCCAGCTGAGGCTACAGGGAGACCCTGTCTCAAAGAAAAAAAAAAAAAAAAAGAAAAAGCTTAAAAAGACAATGACACACGGCTACACTGCAGTGATTTTCCAGTTTTTTTCCTCTCAGAAACCCAATTAATTGGAAAAAAAATCCTAAAGCATGTATTCATTTAAAAATAACCACTGGGTGTGGTGGCACATGCCTTTAGTCCCTCAGGAGGCAGAGGCTGGCAGATCTCTCTCAGATCGAGACCAGCCTGGTCTCCAGGCCAGCTGGGGCTACACAGAGACCCTGTCTCAAAATGACAATACAAAACAAAAACCTCTATTTAATGTAAGTTACTTTTTGTGTGTGTGTGTGTGTGTGTGTGTCTTTTTGAAGCAGGGTCTCCCTGTAGTCCCAGCCGTCCTGGAACTCACTATGTAGACCAGGCTGGCCTTGAACTCACAGAGATCCGCCTGCCTCTGCCTCCCAAGTGCTGGGACTACAGGTGTGTGCCACCACACCCGGCGTAAGTTACATTTTTATAAAAATAACTATTTTGTCAAAAATTTAGAAGAATGGTTTTTTTTTCAAATATTTTAATGTGTTGCAATATATTCATTAAGTTGAAGTGCCTAATAAAATTCAACCTTGGGCAGTGGATATAGTTCAGTGGTACAGAACTTTCATGAAGACCAGGGTTCTGTCCCCTGAAGGGGGTGGGGATACCCAACCACACAGAAAAAGAAAGTACTGGGCGTGGTAGTGCATGGTTGTAATCCTAGCACTAGTGACATTATGCTGAGACTACACAGCAGGATGGAACTCAAGCAGGGTGAGCTGGCACATACTTATAACCCCAGCACTTGGGAAGTGACGGAGGCAGGAAAATCATAAATTCAAGATCATCCTAGGCTGCATAGCCGGTTGAGGACAGCCTGGGGTACATGAGACCTGTCTCAAAACACACTGACATAAACAAAAATCTATCTTCTAAAAAAGGAAAAGGAAACCCTTTTCTTACTTTCCCAGGCCTCTAACGTGATCACACTCGTAACTATTCCACTACTGTTAACGCTGGAAAATGCAACTATCTTTACAAGTAGTGCAGTAGTAAAATTTCCTAAATGTAGGGCAAGCGGTCCACCACTGAGTTACATACTTAGCTAACAACGACAAACGTGATTAGGCACAAGTTTAAGTTCACAAGAAAGTAAGGGGTTGGGGGGAGGGGCTCGCGTTTCCTCATTCCCGAGCGTGTTTTTTTTTAAGACCTTCCCCCAGAACAAGTGCAAATTGATCCACATATAGGGCACCTATCACGCCTGAAGCACCTATGGGGACAGAGGAGGGCAAGGCAGGAAGCCGCAAGGGAAGGAGCCGAAGTTGCCCGTGTGCTCATATCTGGGGAAAGACGTGAGCCACCTACTCACATTCATACTTCCGATTGACGGGAGGATACTTGGCCTTGATCGCCTTCTGTTCCTCCGTCAAATTGTAATCTCTAACATCTTCCTCTTCCTGAGCCATGATTGCAGAATAGGCACTCTACTTCCGCCCTTCCCTGGCTAAACTTCAGCCCCGCTCTACAACTTCCGGCCTACACCCCCCCCCCTTAGCCGCCACTCTAAAAGGAGAGCTCCTTTCTCGAAGCTCGCGGAAGGATATTCGCACTTCTCAGACTTCCATCTAGGCCCTGCCGGTTGGGTGGCACGTTTCAAAGGCCAAGGCCCTATCTTCTTCACGAGTTGCTACTTCTTTCTAAAACTAAGTTAAAGGACACCCTGAACTAGGCCCGGGAGTCTTAAGTGCTGAGGCGTGTTGTCCACCGCTGCCCCTTGGAGTTGATAAACAGACCCGGAAGCAGTTCAGATTTCTCACGTACTCTCAGAGGGTCGTTGACATAAGAGCTCCCTAAGAAAATGGCTGCGTACGAGACAGTGAGGGCTACGCAAGCCACGTGATCCCTGCTGGCACTGTCCCTGTAGGCCTGGCGCGCGATCCCCGGTAAGTAAGCTCCCGCCTGTGGAGGGCAGGAAGGGGCGGGGCACGAGCTTCGGCCCCGCGAAAAGCGTCCGGATAGGTCGTGGCCACGGATGCCCTGCCCACCGCGCCGTACCGCGCTCTCCGATTGGCCGATGTTGGCGCGAAGGCACGCGAGCCACCCTCACGCAGGGGCCGCAGGAAACAATAGAGGCCGCGCGCGCTGAGCTAGCGCTCGTCGCCTCCCCGCCCCTCCCGCAACGCATAACCCCGGGATCTCCCCCGGCTCACCTGCAGCCATGGCTGACAAGGAAGGTGAGAGTGCCGAGGCTCGTGTCGGCGTGGGGCGCCGGGCTGTGTCGTGGCCTCTCCGCGGCCTAGTTCGGAGAGCAGGCCCGACTCCGGCGAGCCGGGTCCCAGAGACTCCGGCGGGAGCCCCGCGCTGGGCGGGCTAACGGCCCGGCGGTTTGGGAGGAGCGGCTGCGGGCAATGCCGAGCGATAGGCTCCGGGCGAGTTGGAGCCTCCCGCCGCTCCCCATCAGTCCCGCTGCCTATTGCGCCCCCCCCCCCGGGCGCCGTTCCACACCTCGGGCCTGTAGCGCAGGCCTCCTGCCTCCCTGGTTTTGGTGACTTGGCGCGCGCGAGCGTGCTTGGAAGGCCGGACACTGTCGCCCAAACGGGTAACGGGAGTGTCTGGCCGGGGTGTAACTTCCGGCCCGCCGAGGCGGAGAGCAGGGTCAGTGCCTGCGCGCTGGGAGATCGGGACAGATCTCCGTTTCGGTGTCAGCTACGGAGCCACGTCGGTGGCTTTGCCGATGTCTACTCGGTCTCCGTGTTGTGCGCTAACTTACTTTGTTTTAAAAAAATTTTAGCAGCCTTTGACGACGCAGTGGAGGAACGTGTGATTAACGAGGAATACAAAATATGGAAAAAGAACACCCCTTTTCTCTATGATTTGGTGATGACCCATGCCCTGGAGTGGCCCAGCTTAACTGCCCAGTGGCTTCCAGATGTAACCAGGTGACACGAATCTTTGATATCTCGTTTCTCACATTGGTTTTCCGTGTTTTTTTCTCCAGTCACTCAGAAAACACATGATCCACACCTATTAGTAACGTTTAGTTTTTCTAGACCAAAAAGTAAGACAGAAATGTGAAATTATTTTGTTGTTCAACATCCAGGACTGTTGCAAATGTAGTTAACTACATATCATGAAACTTGAGAGCTTTCAAGAAGTTACTGAGTTTACTTCATGCAACAAAACATTTGAATTCTCAGTCATTAATGATAGCTGGTTAATATCGAGGTAAATAGAGAACTTGCCTAAAAGGAGCTTGTTGTTTAAAGAGGCCGATGTCCACTAATAATAGGTCATGTTGGTATTATAGACAAGTAGTTACGGTGATTAGAAAACAACCGGAAGAGACCTGGGGGCATATATTTGATGTTAGAATGCATGCTGGCAGGGGCTTAGGTTTGCTCAAAGGGTTAGTGAGGATCGCTGTTGGTCTCTTAGAGTTCAGTCACATATGTGAAATGTTCAAAACAAGGAAAATGTATGTCAACTTGAAATATCACGAATAGTTTGCGAAAAGAAGGGACAATACAAAGGTAAAGCTGAATGTAGAACATTATTGATGCAAACTTGGCAAAACCAGTGTGTCTGTTGAAATTGCTTCTTCACTTTTCAGAGTAACAGTCCCATACTTGTGTACTAAATTTTTTTTTTGAAATTCAAAACTTAAGCTATTTAAGCTTTTTTTTTTTTTTTACTTTGTTATTTTCATTTTAATGTGTATTCATGTATTGCCTGCTTGTAGGTAAGTGCACCCGTGTTGTGCAATGCCCTTGGAGTTCAGAAGAGACTGTTGGATTCCCTGGGACTAGAGTTACGAACAGTTGTTAGCTGCCATGTGGGTGCTGGGATTCGAACCTGTGTTTTCCGCAAAAAACAACCAGTGTTCTTAACCATTGAGCCATCTCTCCATCCCCAAGTTAAGCTATTTATTAAAATATATTCAACAAGTAATAGAAATTTGGAGTAAAAGTGCTGGAGATTGAACCCAGAGCCTTGTATATGGTAAGCAGGCAGAACCACTGAGCTACATCACTCTAATGTAAGTAATAGATATTTTACATCCATTTTTTTGATAATTTGAGAATGAGTGGTATAGAGGAAGTGGAGCGCTTTATCCTAAGGATGTTGTACAACTGCATGGCAGACACTTAGAAATTTGGAATTGGAGTTTCTCTATTGTGACCAGGGACTCCTACCTTCACCTGATCACACATCAGTCACCAGAAATATTTGGGAGTTCAGGATAAGCAAGGTCGTTTTGTCAATTCTTTCATAGTTGAACCATTTAAAAATTTGTGTTGCGGAGCTGGAGGGACAACTCAGCAGTTAAGAGTGTTGGCTTCGTTGCAGAGGACCCCAGTTTAATTCCTATCACCCAGATGGTGGCTGACAGCCTTCCTTAACTCCAGTTCCAGGGGATCAGGATCTGACACCCTCTTCTAACTTCCATGGGCATTGCATGACACAGGTGCCTTTACGTATGTGCAGGCAATATACTCATACACATAAAAAATAAAATATTTTCAGAATTTATGTTGAGAGACTGTGTGATGATGCATACTTGTAATCCCAGCACTTAATGGTAGAGCAGACGAGAAGATCAGGAGTTTGAGGCCAGCCTGCCTTGCAAAAGAAAACCTTACCAGTAGTTCCCCTCTATAATCTTAGTTTTTGGGAGGCTACAGCTAAATCACAAATTTGAGACCAGCTTAAGCTACTTGGTAAGACTCTGCGCTCCCTTCCTCCAAATGAGTCCCATATTTTAGCTACCACATACCTACTAAATCATTCTGGGATTTTTTTTTTTTTTTTAATCTATGAGGGTACGGTGTCAGTTGACTTTTTGACATTTCCTAAGTATTACTCTTTATCCCCTTTACAGCAGATAATAAACCTTCATTTAATACTTTTTGTATAGCATCTTTCCTATCTAGACGAAGAGTTTTCTCATTGTAATGTGCAACATAATCAGCTAGAGTTGTCGCAAAACAGTGCTGTATGCCCTACCTTCTAGGGCTTCTGGGTCTGTGGGTCTGGAATGGATCTGAAAATTTGCATTTCTAACAAGGTCTCAGGTGATGCTGGTGCTGTTGGTCTTGGGACCACAATTTCAGAAGCTCTGCTTTATTTACAGTGTTACATTAATCCTTCCAGGAGAGCACGAATAATATTAAGCTATGTCCATGCTTTGTGAAGCTTTTGATATTTCTTATTCCCTGTGGTGTAGACTCCAGGATGCCTTAAGCTGACATTCAAAATATTGACCAGTGATTTTAATCAGCTTTCTAGGCTTCTCTCCCACTTAGTTTTCCCACTTTGAAAACTAGATTTGGACTTTAATCTCAGTTGTAATACTTAGTAGATATGTGGTCTGAGCCAGATTGCTTACTTTTCCCAAATTTATTTCCATACTGGAATAATTCTTCAATATTGTGGTGTTTAAATAATGTAATTGCATTTTATTTTGTGTGTTATATATGTATGTATGTTTGCCACAGCATGGATATGAAGGTCAGGACAACTTGTAAAAGTTGATTCTCTTTCTACCACGTGGGTCCTGGAAATTGAATAGCAGCTCCTAAGTTGCTGTAATTGGTTGTTGGATTTTTAACCAATACCAAGGATTGAACCTAGAACCTCATATTAATGAAGCACTTTACCTCTGAGCTACATCCACCAGCTGTTAAATTCCAGTGTTTTTGTGTGCCTTCCACGTGACATATATTGCCTAGTATTTATGTACATGACTTATTAGTTGCTCCTGGTTTTAAGGGTGTGCAAGTCATGTCTTGATCATCTTTGTGTTTTCAGCTGAGTGTAGGTCAGTGATAGAATGCTTAACTATATGCATAAAGCACTATCTCCAGTACCTATAATCTTGGGAGGCAGAGACGGGAGCTGTGGACAAACTAGTTATCTAGGCTTGCTGAATGGGTAAGCTCTGGGTTCAATGAGAGACCCTATATCAGTAGATTAGAAGGTAGAAAGGGGTTGAGGAAGACACTATGTCAACCTCAAGCCTCCTAGCATGTACACATGAGCACATGTAAATAAAGCCAGCCAACCCTGGATTCTGTCTCTAGCACTACAAAAGAAAAAAAGTATCATTTTTGTATTTCCAAAGCATTTGAAGCAATGGATCTAGTAATTGGTATTTAGTAAATATTTGAATAGTTCATTTACTGCTGCATATTGAAACAAGGATACTGCAAATGCTTTATCACTGAGTTACACTTTAGTCCTTCCCCCTCTTTTTCTTCCTCTTTACTCTTTCAGCAAAGTTCTTGGTAAACAAAAATAATAGTGTGTCCAATTTGGGGGGAGGCATTAGGTTTATGAGACAGGGTCTTGCTATGTAGCCCTGAGTTTCTTGGAACTCCCCATGTAGACCAGGCTAGCCTCAAACTCAGCATGTAGGGTTAATTCACTTTATTCCATTAAGTTTTTTTTTTGTTTGTTTGTTTTTTAACTTTTGCCCCAGAGTAATTCTAAATTTTTGTGACTAAGAAGTACAAAATTAAGTACCATATAGTTGTGCTTATGAAAAAGAAAAGAATTATTCTCACTTTAACAAAGAACCATTAAAAGTAGGAAATAGAGGCTGTCAAGGTAGCTCAGCAGGTAAAGGTCCCTACCACATGACAGGAGAGAAGCTAGTCCAGCAAGTTCTCTGAACTCCACACATGTGCCATGGCATGTGCCTCTCCCTGCTGCCCCAAAATGTGTTTTTTTTTAAATATTTTTATTTTATGTATATGAGCATATTGCCTGCATGTATGTGAGTGCACCCATGTCATGCAATGCTGTGGAGGTCAGAAGAGGGCTTTGGATTCCCCTGGAACTGGAGTTAAGGATTGTTCATAGCCGCCATGTGAGTGCTGGGAATTGAACCTGGGTCTCTCCAAGAGCAGTCAGCGCTCTTAACCACTGAGCCATCTCTCTAGCCCCTCCAAAATGTAATTTTAAAGAAGAAACAGGGACCTGAGTAGTGGCTTAGTTGGTAAAGCACAAGGACATGAGCTCAATCCCCAACACCCATGTAAAAAAAGCCAGGTAAGGTGGTGCATGCTTGTAATTCCAGCAGTGGGAAGGTAGAGATGGGAGGATTCCTCAAGCTCCCTGGCTATTCAGACTAGCCTAATTGATGAGCCGCAGGCCAGTGGGACCCTATTTTAAAAGAGGTAGACAGTGTTCCTGGGAGGACACACGTGAGTGTCCTCCAGCTGCCAAATGTGTGTGTGCTCATAGCACACACAGATTTTTTTTTTTTTTTTTAAGTAGAAAACAGGGCTGGAGAGATGGCTAAGCAGTTAAGATCACCAGCTGCACTTGCAGAGGACCTGGATTCAATTCCCAGCACCCACATGGTGGCTAACAAACATCTGTAACTGAAATTCTAGGGGGATCCAGTGCCCTCTTCGGACATAAATGCAGGCAATATACTCACGCCCATAAAATAGGAAAGTAGGAAGCCAGGTGTCATGGCTTTATCTCAGAATCTGATAGTAGTGTGTTTTTGCATATTTGTGCATTACTGGTTTTGTTCTCTTTCAGTGTTAATTTGAATAGTGACAATCTTGTTATTACAGACCTGAAGGAAAAGATTTCAGCATTCATCGACTTGTGCTGGGTACACACACATCAGATGAACAAAACCACCTTGTGATAGCCAGTGTCCAGCTCCCTAATGACGATGCTCAGTTTGATGCATCACACTATGACAGTGAAAAAGGAGGTAAGAGATACACAGTTTGATCAGGTTATTAAGTTAGGGGAAAAAAAAATGTTAAGTTTGGGAAAGCCAGGTTGCAATCCAGAGATGGTTAGGATACTTGGTTTTGTACATTTGTTATAAGTTTCAGTTTTCTACCATATATTTTATTGTACAGTTTCAGCAGGGGATGTATAACCCTTAAGGGGACAGAAAGTGGTTCATTGGTGTGGGTTGCTATAAATATTAGTGCATAAAGCACAGGTGGTTATGATAGCCCAGGACTGTAATCCAAGTTCTTAGAAAGCTGAAACAGGACGAACGTGAGTTTCAGGGCATTTGGGGGGCTATAGTGATTACCTATCTCAAATCAAAGAGCACAGTTTACACAGAGCACATAAATAAGCATACAGTTTATGGTATCCATCTGTGGTTGGTTGAGGAAGAAAACCACTGAATTTAAAGAGTCTGCAGGTTTGGGATTGAGATTCTGTTGTGCATCTAACTAGCTGTTTAGTTTGGGGTAAAACATAACTTCTGAGTTCAGTTCCTGTTCTGTTAAATGAGATAAATTATATGTATTAATCTTTCCTTTTATGTGTATGAATGTATTGTCTGTATGTATATAAGTGCCTGTGTCATGCAGTGCCCACAGAGGTCAGAAGAGGGCATTAGATCTCCTGGAACTAGAGTGACTGATGGTTGTTAGCTGCCATGTGTGTACTAGGAATCAAACCCTGGTCCTCTGGAAGAGCAGCTAGTACTCTTTAACTGCTGAGCTATCTCTCCAGCCTCACCTCTTTCCCCTTTTTTTTTTTTTTTTTTGAGACAGGGTCTCCCTATAGCCCCCTGGAACTCACACTCACTTTTTTTTCTTTAAGATGAGATCCTAGATAGCCCAGAGCCTTGTGTATTTGAGATCACATGCTCTACCCATGAACTATATCCCCAGGTCTAAATGAGATAAATTATGTTTGGGGCCTAGGGTTGTAACTCAGTGGTAGAACAATGGCTTTAGCATATCTGAGTCTAGATTTGATCCATAATACCACAAAATAAATAGGATTTTCGGTTTTGTTGTTATTTAGGTATGAAACAAATTTAAACAGTCTCATGTATCCCAAGTTGGCACGCTAGGCCTCAACCAAGTGGACTGCATCCCCATCCTTTTGTATACTTTTTTTGTTGTTTTTTGAGGCAGGGTCTCCCTGTAGCTCTAGCTGTCCTGGAACTCACTATGTAGACCAGGCTGGCCTTGAACTCAACAGAGATCCGCCTGCCTCTACCTCCCAAGTGCTGGGATTAAAGGTGTGTGCCACTACAGCCAGCCCATGTAGACTTCTTTTTTTGGGGGAGGGGGTCTCCCTGTAGCCCCAGCTGTCCTGGAACTCACTATGTAGACCAGACTGGCCTTGAACTCACAGAGATCCACCTGCCTCTGCCTCCCAAGTGCTGGGGCTACAGGTGTGCGCCACCACACCCAGCCCATGTATACTTTTAATAATGCAAAGGATATACTCCCCCCCCCCCATAAATCCATTCCCAGTAGATTACTGTTAGATTGCTTTATAAGAGTTCACATACTAGATCACTCATTCAACAAATAATGCTGTGAGTAAGCATCAGAGCACATTCCTATAATGAGCCCTCCAGACTGATACAGACACAAGTTCAATGCCAGCTTGGGCAAGGTAACTGAACCCATTTTAAAACAGAAAAAAACTAGCCAGTGAGTTGACTCAGCGGGGAAAAAGCCCCCGGAACCCACGATGGGAAATGAGAACTGACTCTAAAAAGTTGTCTTCTCTGCTTGTAATCTAAACCAGTTACTGTGGTAACACACCTATAATCCTAACACTTGGGAGGTGGAGGCTGGGGGATCATGTGTTCAGAGTCATCCACCGCTAGCTACATAGGTAATTCTAGGCTAGCCTGGAACCTCTCCTAACTCCCCAGCCCCCTTTAAAAAAAAAAACAAAAAAAAAAAAACCCCACATATATTGAGTACTTAATTGCATGCAGGCATTTTTCTTGGTACTGGAGACACAGTACAGAATGTATAATATGGGTTCATAATTTGCTTTTCTGGAATTAGATTAAGTAGCTTCCAGTCTTATTTTATGTGTGTGTGGTACATGCAAGTGAATATGCAAGTGCAGGTGTCCATGGGAGTAAATGCACAGGCCAAAACATTTCTCTGTTGTACCTACTGAGTCCCTTGAGACAGGGTTTCACTGAATTGGAGGCTTGCTGTTTCTGTTATGCTACGTCTGTCATCCCTGACCTCCCAACCCTTTTTATGTGGGTACTAAGGATTCAAACTCAGATGCTTGCACAGCAAGTTTTCTTACCCACTGAACCATCCTTCCGTTCCTCTAAGCTCATTCTATTTGCAATGTTGATGGTTTTTGTGTAGTTTTGGTTTGTCTTTAAAAGGGTATAGCACAGGCTAGCCTTGAACTTCCTAATACTGCCTCCAGAAGTGCTGAGAAGGATCAAGTCCCCAAGCCTGGAGTGACTGTGTTATTATTTAAGAGCAGTACATTTTGATTTGTTAACTTTTCCTCTGATGTTCCCCAACTTACTTCCTGTTCCCAAATTTCAAAGTAGTCATCTATTGTTTTCTTGTAGTGCTTTGTTTTGACTGATAAAACTTTGATCTTTCTGTTACCTTGCTGTTACATATGAGATTAGAATCCAGTCTTTTTTTTTTTTTTTTTTTTTTTTTTTTTTTTTTTTTAAAAAAAAAAAAAAAAAGAGGACGATAAATCTTTCACTGTGATATATCAAAATAA